AAAGCTTTTATAAAAGCTCAAATAGTCTATTGGGTTTATTGAATGCCACACGTACTTTGACTTATAATAAACTTTTAAAAGTTTTATATATTTATTATGAATATAGTGTTCTCCTGCATGTTGCCTGCAGGCCAGAAGAGGGAACCAGATTTCATTACAGATGGTTGAGCCACCATGTGGTTGCTGGGATTGAACTCAGGTCCCTTGCAAGAGCAGCTACTTCTCTTAACCTCTGAGCCATCTCTCCAGCTCCAGCTTAGAATAATCTTATGGACTTTTCTTACAATATTCCCCATCAAAAGTACCTTAGTTTTCTTTTTTCCATCAATATCTCTAGTTTCAGTTCTCATAGGCCAATTAGAATTTTCATTCTTAGCAACTTTAATTTCTTGTGAGAAAAATCTAAGGAGTAAGCACTTTAAACTGTTCTCTGTCAGCATTTTTGAAGTAATTTTTTAGAAGTTTTCTTCATACAAAGCAATTTTTGTTTGTATTATGTTCATTTGAGGACTTCATACACAAATGCATTTTGATCATACCCTTCTGTCTCCCTACCCCAGCTCCTTTCAAGTCTCCCTAATACACGCCCTCTTACATTTACATATTCTGCTGCTGCTTTCTTACACAAGTCCAATTATTTTGTCCATATGCACACCAGTGTAGGGCTAACCCCTGGAGCATGAGCAACTTAACAATGGCCATGTCCCTGAAACAAACTGACCCTCCCCACTGCAGCTAGCAATTGTCTGTGGCTTCTCAGCCAGTAATAGGGTCTTGAGAACCCTTCCCCACCTCTTGGCTGGAATGCTGACTGGTTTGGTCTTGTGCAGGCAATCACAGCTTTTGAGAGTCCCGGGCACAGCATCCTGGTTATACCCAGGAGACAATGTTTGTAGTGGTTCCTTCCTGGATCCTCTTACAGTCTTTCTACACCTTCTTCCACAATGTTCTGAGCCTGGAGGGGTGTGTTATAGAGGTCCCATTTGAGTACAGGCACTTCATAACCATTATTCTATGCACTTTGACCTGCTTTAATTGACAACCCGGAATAGATTTAGCTATGTCTAACCATATAAAAGCAAGATGCCAAAAATATAAAACCTATATTTAATAAATAATACCTTAATAGTTTAACTTATTGAGAAATAACCCAGACACCCAAAGGATACCTGTTACTTGACCTCACGTCAAGGCTTTGAGTTCCCAGAAAGATTTCTGGAATATGAAGTATTCATTTATAAATGTTCATGACCTTTCTGTTTACCCAATTTACTCATTTTTGATGGTTAAACTTGAATTGCTGGTGAGGAACAATGCTCATCTTATCTGTAAAAGGTCATCTTATTTTCTTCTTTTAAAATAGCAAACTCAAGCTAAAATTCCATCAACCAGCCTTATTCTAGGCTCTTGAGAAGGCAGACATAGATGACTACTGAATATTTCACACTTTCCAGTTATCCTGGGTCTTGGGCCTTCAGACGGTATCTTGAATGGATAAAAATGAAAGGGCTTGGCTACATCTTTGACTCATACTCCAGGTGATAAAGATAAACTCAGGATAAGGACAAGAAGCTATGGTAATGATGCCAACAGTTTCCAGCATGGACAAGAAAGATCCCAGAGGTTCCCAACCAAATATACATAATTCAAGAACTAAGGAAGCCCCATGGCTGGTCCCAAAGTCTCAGTTCATTGGCAAAGCAAGCAAATATGAAAAGCATACATAGCTGGCATGATTGTATATGTCTGTAATCCCTGAGTTTGGGGTGTGGACACAGGAGGGTCACAAGTTCAAAGCCAGCATTATTATATACTAAGTTCCAAGTCAGCCTGTACTATAGGAGACCCCATCTAACAATGACCAAACTCAAACACCACAGAGGTAAAGAGACTCAAATCCAACAGTCAGACACAAATCACTTTCCTCTCATTTTACTCTCAGGGATGATATGAATGAAGGAATTCGTTCTCATATATTTCTCTCCTCTGCTAAACCCTTATCTTTGTGGCCCTAATATACCTAGGGTATAGTAAAGCTTGTTTAACTAGTATATCTAACTTACAAGTCTGTAATAAATAACTAGATTCAAACACCTCTTTTTTTTTTAAAGTCAGTTAAACAGAGCTCTGTGGCTGTTTAGGTGAGAAATGTCCTCCACGGGCTCAGCTACGTGAACATGGTCACCAGTTGGTGGCACTGGTTTGAGAAGTGGTACAGCATTTGCTGGAGGAAGTGCATCACTTAGGGTGGGGCTTGAGAGTTCATAACCTCACCCTACATCCAGTTCCCTGTCTATGCTTTGTGTGTGCTGCTCAATATATGAAAGCTCAGCCAGTCAGGCATCAGAAGCATGCAATTGGATCCAATCCAGTTATTCATGGGACTCAGTGCATCTTGGAACTACTCCAGTTTCTGCAAGGGCTCCCAATGGTCACCAACCACTTCACAAGGCAAAAGACAGAAGCCAAAAAAGACTTGGAGCTCAATGCAAATAGCATCAATGCTAAGACTAAACCAAGTCTGTAAGACACAGGGACCCCCAAAGGGGTCAACAGAGCCTCTCCTACATCCCTCGAGGACTCTAGGGAGTTCTCCCCCACTTTCTTTTTGGTCCCTCGTCTGTTCTAACAGCTCTGAAATTGTTAGAAAATTACAAAAATGTGATTTTGTAGCTCTTGGTTTGACTTGCTTGCCATACTGGATGGAAAACTGCAGATTGCTATACTGCACCGCTTCATAGCAAGTTACATTTGCAGCCAAAGAAAGCTGTGTGCAGAAAATGGAAGAAACTATAGACCCTGACGGGTCACATCTCACATCTGCCTCATCTTGGCCACTTAAAGGAATTGGCTGAGATGCAGCAAAACATCCTAAGGGTGGATTATGAAGAGTTTCAAGTTCATCCTAACTGGACAGACCCTGAGGCACATCTTTCAGCGTTATGAAGGCAGCTTTAGTCAAACCCACAAGTCTTTGTTTGTCAGCCACCACTTTGGAGGTGGTATGATGGATCTAAAGCAAAGGACCAGCAGACTTGAGAAGAGTGTGTCAGATGTCACTGTGCCCCCACCGCAGATGTCCACAGCCCAGCCTCAGTTCCCAGAATTCAGCAAATCTAGACAAGCTTAGACTCACTGGCTCACTGTCCTAGAGCTTCTCTGACCACGCAAGGCTGCAGAACCCACTTGTTCCTGAACTCAGCACAGGCTAACTTCTCCAAAGCACTCAATCACTCCTGCCTCAGAGACTCCTGATGCTACAATGCAAAGCCAGCTAACACAGCCCTGTCTCCTGCTACCCAAGTAGACTATCTTCGTATAAGCCTGTCTCAGGTTCTGCCTTCTGGAAAATTCAGTTAATACAAAAATATTATATATCACACAAACACCCAGCAAGATATAAAAGAAACGTGGGACCTCCAAATACTAATTTTTTAATTATTGCAAATACGAACAGATTCCCTTGTTTGCAATAGTTCTTAAAGTACATAGACATGTTAGTTAACATTGACCATTATGAAGCAAGAATAAGCCTCTGTGATTTAGTTCAACTGTATGCAAATACAGCATTTCATTGTAGTCCTTGGCTGTGGGGCAAACATGCATGCCTTCCCTCAGAACACAGCTGTTATTATAGCAGAACCCACCAGGCTGTGGTTGTGGCACTCTGAACTACTGTGGACTTCTCCAGACCACCAAGCCTGCCAAGAGAAGCCCCAAGCAGCCGGATAAGCGTCAAAAATCAATTCACTCACTGGAAAGACTGAACATTCTTGAAAACACTCACTTGTCTTCTAGAGATGCAAGTCCTTGTTCGTAAAGAAAAGATGATTAAATAACTCCCAACTTCAGGAGCTGGGGCCAGGACAGGAAAGGGGAGAGGTCAGTGAAACTCCAAAGCCACAGAGAAACAGAGATGAAGAGAACTTCTATTGAAATCTGGAGAATAATTGATGACACCATTGTCTGTTGTCATGAGAATCATATGTTCCTGTGAACACGCTGGGTTTTCCCTCCAGAACTTAAGGGCAAATAAATGTTCTGCTGTCCTAAGAATTAAGCAACAGACTCATGTGCAGTTACTGATCCAACACAATATCAGATATGCATTTCTCTCTCTTTTCTTTCTATTTAGTCATCTCTCATGCAATACATCCCAGCCAAAGTTTCCCCTCCCAACCCCCTCCACCCTCCAGATCTACTACTGCTCCTCCATTTCCCTTCAGAAAAGTGAGGCCCTCCCAGGGACATCAACTGAACATGGCATGTCAAGATACAATGAGACCATGCTTTATCTCTATCAAACTATAATTCAAGAGTGCTTCTCCCTTAATTAAAATACAAATCGATACCTGAATCAATGTGTCCTGGTTATCCCCTAGAGAAGATGCTGCCTGTTCAGGAATGAGTGCAGCACAGGAACCAGTCCCCACAAGTGTCCTAAGACTACCACTACTTTCTCCACACTTCTCAGCCATAGGCTGTGGTGATTGACATTAATAAGCCTAAGTTTTCCAACTTCTAGTTAAAAATCATATTTTAAAAATAGGAAAATGCCTAGAAATCATTATTTAATTTTTCAGTGTCCAAAACTTTAGAGTTTTCTTTTTCTTTTTTCTTTTTGGCAAAATAGAATTCTAAATATGTTGCCTTCTCGGTAAATTTAAAGTATCAATATTCCCATTCAAATGGCATTTCTACTTTGATATGGTTATAGATGAAGCCACATTCTAACTTTTTATCTGCTTTTAAATAATCATTTGAGGACCTATCCAAGGGCATGGACTGGCTTTTTGGAGTCCATTCTCTATGGAGGGATACCTTTCTCAGCCTTGATACAGGGTGTAGGAGCTTGGTCCTGCCTAACTTGGTATGCCAGACTTTGTTGACTCCCCAAGGAAGGCCTTATTCCCTTTGAGGAGTCGATGGGAGAGAGGGAGGGGAGACGCACACGGGAGAGAGAAGGGGAGGGATGGGAAACTGGGGTTGGTATGAAAATGAAAAACAAATTCTTTAAATAAAAAATAAAATCATTTGGACCCTTTCTCTAAACCTTGAATTGGGTTCTTTGGGTTCCCAACAGTGAAATCAGATGCAAGGTCTTCAGATCTGAAATACACATGCCATCTTCAGGTCAAGATGCTGGGAGGGCAGTGGCTGGGTACCTTCACTCTTCTAGAAGATTCTGACAGTCTTGAGCCCCCAATGGATGTCGTGCTCTCTGCTTATATTCGATTCGGCATTTCCCTTCTGGCTGGGGGATACCCACCAAATGAAGACAACTCTAAAAGTAGAAACATAGAAGAGATGCAGAAACTAAGAGATGGAAGCCAACAGCATTAGTCCCTTCTTTCCTGGGTGGGGTTTCTAAAAGGTGCAAGGTGAAGGCTGGAAGGGTGGGAAATGTTCACATTGGTGAGTTTCAAAACATGGAGAGAAGAGAAAGACCGCTTATTTTAATACCATCCAGCTTCACTTACACCCACCCTGGGCCCACAGGCCTCCCTGATGCCTACCCTTCTCTTTAGCAGGCTAAAGGGGTTGCTATAAATACACAAGGCTCTTTCTACATCCCTGGCTCAAAAGCTATGAAACAGAGGACTGAATGTGCCACTTTTTGTTCCGACAAGGTGGCACTGATATGGATATCTGACATGAGTCAGCTAAAACATGGCTGACACCAGATATCGAAGGGACTGAGTCAGCTAATGATGGCTGACAGTAGATGCCTGGGGAACCCAAAAGGAAAACGGGGATGTAATGACATGTGACTGTTGCTGACCGAGTGCCACTTTTGTGTGATTCTACAGAAACATGACCTTGAGGTTGGAGGTGAGTGCCTTGCCTCCCTCTTCTGTGGTGGTTTGGGTGAGAAAAGGCCTCCGCGGTCTCAGTATTGGAACACTTGTCCCCCTGCTCTTGACACACAAGGAAGTGCGTCACTAGGGGGTGGGCTCTGAGACGGAAAAGTCCTTCCTGTTTCCAGCTTGCTCTTTCTGCTTCATGCTCGTGGTCTAAGATGTAACTCGCCGCTTATTTTTCCTGCTGACTGCTGCCACATCTCCAAGCCACCACCGACCCTTATCCCTCCAGAACCATAAGCCCAACATAGTGTTTTATCACAGCAGCAGCAAAGCAACTAACACACCTTCCTACCTGCACTCTTCGTGGGAGTCTGCTTGTGTGTGGCCTATACATGTCAACCCGTGCGCTGGTAATTATGTCCAATCTCATCCTCCCTAACTTCCTCTATAACCACCCTTTTCCTGGCTCTGGAGCTTGGACCTCACACCCATTTATGCTCAGTTACTGAGTGAAAATTGGCACCTGTGACAAGTGCTTGGAAACTACTTGCAGCTAATAGACAGACCACAGCCACACTGTTATTATGACCATCGCTTGTGGATTTTTTTTTTTTCGTTATAAAGAGGAATGTTTGAGTTTGGGTAAGGGGAGGGGTGTCATTGTACTGCTAAAACCATAGAAAGGATACTAGGGATTAGAGACATAAAAGGCTCTGTCAGCCTTGAGCTTTAGTGGTCAATGAACAGTAGTGAGAAGGGAAGGTGTTCACAATTTAGGTAATCAGTCTTTTTTTTTTTTTTTTTTTTTTTCTTTCTTTGTTTCAAGTACAAACACAAGAGGACACAGGATGGTGGATTCCTTAGCTCCAGTGATAGAATGGAATGTATAGTTCCCATGAGCCCACTGATGCTAAACGCACAGTTATACATGAAGGTGGATACACTTCTCTAGTGAGAGATGAACACAATTTTGTTTCCCTAGATGCTGGGAGGCACTGCTGGTCTGAGGCTGCAGTCTACCTGGGCTGGCAGCTCTCTCCAAGCTCAGCACCATGGATGACTCCCTTCCCCCCTGGCAGAAGGCACCCTGTTCCCTACCTGACCTTATATGGAGACTGTCTCTAGGCCCAGATGCCTGACTTATCTCTAGTGTGACCCTGGACACAGTTCCCTGCAGAAGCTGTCCCTCTGCTGCCTCTATGGTAAATAGGCATTGTGCTAGGATTGCGATAGGACTGTGCTTCCACAGATGATACTAGGAACTTAATGGAGGAGCACGGTGTTTAATTAATTAGGTGATTCCCAACTACCACCCCCAGTCCTATACATTCTCTACACTCTTGAGCCAAGCTGAGATAATTCACTGAATATATCTCCTGGAGGGCTAATCCCCATCATACTCACAAGTTGGATAAGGTCCTGCTTGCTGCTTCTGCCTGTCTTACCCCCTTGGCCCAGTGGCCAATGGGCTGCGGGGTAAGAGGGGACTGGCATTAAATATTTGTACCCTAAAAATGTTACCATGGAGCAAAACCACCTGAGCCAGCGAAATATGTGCTTGACATTGAAGTTGTTTCATGGTTGGGTGCTAATTACTGGTGTGTCGTGTAGCTTAAATAAAGCTTTGTTGTATTTCCTGGTTATTTGGTTCATAATGAGATAGAAAAAAGAAATATGTGGGTCATAAGAATGGGAGAGCTGGGCCCGTCAGCACTTTGGAGAACTCACCCTGCATCTCGCCTGAACAGCACGGTAGAGCTGACCCTGCTGGTATCCGTACAGGTGAGCTGGCCCGGAGTGTGAGAGCAGGAGAGCTGATCTTCCCATACCCAATCTGCCATTTGGTGGCATGGGTGAGGGAAAGATGCCCTCCCACAACCCTGGTCCCTTGCCACCTGTGGCAGCCAGGAGAGCTGGCCTCTCACCAAGGGTAGCACCCAAGAGAAGGAGCCCTGTACCTCTCCTGGGAAAAACAATAGAGCTAGCCCTGAGGGCTTGAGAGTAGGAGAGCTAACTCCAGTACGTGTCGCCTGCTGCTTTGAGTGAGCTAGCTGGGGCAATGCCAGAGAGCTCTCCCTTTTAGTGTCAATGAGGGAAAGCTGTCAGGTGTCAGGCTATGAATTAGCCCATCCCAACATCCATCTCATGTGTGAACTGCTGGAGCACGTGAAGGGACCAGTCCTGCAGATCCGAAGATGCAGCATCTCCATGACACAGAGAAACAACAGGACATCCCACAGGAGTCCCAGTGAGGGCCCAGTACTGAGGGCGTAGCAGAAGCAGGATGCCTGGAACCAGACCAATAGCTCACTGCAATGAACTCTTCCAAGTAAAGATGTATGGACTAAAGGGCATACTGTGTGACTGTCACACTGCAGCTTCCACACCGAGACTTTTATGTTGTTGTTGTTGTGTGTTAGTTTGGTATTTGTGGGTTTTTTTCTTCTGCATTTTATTTTGTTTTGGGGAGGGAGTAAAAGGATGGAGGGCAGCTATTAAGGGCCAGGGAGATGGGTGGGATCAGAATGCATTATATGAAACCCACAAAGAAGAAGAGAAGGTGGAGAGAATGTAAGAGCCAGAGGTAGTAGGTGACTATAAGAAAACTCTACTTTCTAGACACGATGGGGCTGTTGAATATATGGACTGACAGTGGTTATGACTGTGTGTACAAGATCCATGCAAGCTCACGATAGACAAAACCCTAGCATGGAGGTGTAAAGTCCCACCCCAGCTGAGAAGCCACTAGTAATTGATAGTTGCTGCCAGAAGACAGTTCTCTTGCAGGATGTGTCCCTTGGGTAGGTCTAACATGCTCCAGGAATGACCTCAGGCCTAAAGGTATATTGGAAGCACTAACTGAACTCTATGAGTTTTAAAAAAGAAATAAAGACACAAAGTCAGTTTAGTAAATAATGAAGTACGGATCTGGGAGATGAATATGCTCAAAATACAATGTGTGAGATTCTCAAAGAATTGATAAAATTAAAAAAAAAAAAAAAAAAAAAAAAAAAAAAAAAAACTAGGGAAAAGAGAAATGGAAAAGATACCAATGGAAAGTGCCTAAGTGTATATATCTGTAACACATTTTCCGAGCTGCTTACGTACTTACATAATTTCCATTGAAAGAACACAGGGAGTTACTCCTCATACATTAAACACAAATGGCCTTAGTGAATAGCACTGACGTGACTTCAGAGCCTCATGTGTTTAAACAGCACCGTGCGTCCAGTTTCCACATTTAGGATTACATTGGACTTTTTTTTCCCCTTACAGCAGTGGTCTCTAAAGTGTGGTATACTGGCTACCAGCAGTAACAGGCACACCTATATATAACTTGTTAGAAATGCAAACATGGAGCTCTTTCCCAGCACCATTGGATTAGGAGCCCTAGCAGGGGACTGAACAACCTTTCTGCACACCTTTGAGGATCCAGGACTCTGAGGCTCATGTTCTTTCAGGAGCCACTGCATCTACAAAGAGTTAAGTGACAACAGCCTTAATGATGAGAAAGGGGAGACAGCTCAACCTTTTCCTTTGTGCTTGCTATCTTTACAAGGGAGTTGGTTTCCCTGCATCTGGTCACCTACTGAAAATGAACCAAGCGCCACAACAACATCCAAAACAAAGAGTTCATTTATACACCTATACACGACCTCTCTATATGGAGCCAAGGTCAAATTTAAGGGATTCGCTCAACACTTGGCTGTATTGAAAGCCACATTTATAAAGTTTCTATCAAATCTGATAGAACACTCACCTGCTTTGGCAATGGGTCCAGAAGGCTGCAATCATATTTATAAAGCACTAAAATAATACATATTTGGATCTCTAACAGAGCAAACCACCTGAAGGAAAAACACATGACAATTACTTGTCTCCAAAAGATGTACGAATACCTAACTCTTAATACCACATAGTCCACTGAGTGATTGGGATGGCTCAGCTGCTTTAGAAGATGTATAAAATGCTTAGTCATTATGCAAACACAATATGAAAATGTATGTTTTTTAAGAAGTATTTTATCTTTGTGCATGTAGGTATGTATCTGTATGACCGTGTGTGCAGGTACATGTGCACAAGAGTATGCATGTACCCTTAGAGGCCAGAAGATAAGCAGGAATATGCACATATGTATGCACAAAAGTCAATCAAAATTTTACATTGTATTTTAGCTAAAGGAAAAGATAATGAAAATAATGATTTACTCAAATTTAAATATCTGGGCATTCTAGTAGAATTTTCTCAAGTTCCCACTGAAGGTAAATTTTTTGGCAATGGCAAAATAGGTTTAGGCATTTATTGCAATGTTGATTTTTCTTCCATGTTCATGTTAGAATTTGGCCACCTGTGGCACTTGAGCTATGTTCATGCTAAAAATGTTTTCCCAACACTTCCAATGTCAAAATAGTGAAAATAATGAGGTGTGTTACTTACAACAGATTTGGTTTTTACACTTACCGGAACAAGAGTGCACATCTAGAAAGAAAACTCATTAACAGGCAAACATGCTGGAAATTCCTTAAATACTTAGCCCCTGTGGATCTTTCCCAAGTGTAAACACTCCTCTGGACACAGCTGCAGGGGCTTTGGGGAAAATGAGGTCCCTGCAAATTCAACACTGTCAAGACTGAACTGGGTTAGCGGCAAACCATAGCAACTAGAGCAAGGGGGCATAGCAAAGGCGTGCCCAAAACTGATGCTGCAGAGACCTGGGGTCTGGAGAAAGCACCGACCTGCGTATCCCTGAAGGCGAGCCTTGAGCTGCACCTTCAGGAAGGACTGGCTTTAAATAAGCAGACGTGGTGTGAATGAGAGTCTTTGGGAGCCTGAGCCTGCTCCAACAGTAGAGAGCATGGGGGCCTGGAGACAGCGGGATAACTCTTGCAGGAGGGTAGCCAGTGGTTTACAGAGGTACAGCTGGGGTCAGATTACAGAAGACAGGAGTCCTGACAGGATAAGGGTTTGATGTGCAGCGTGGGTGTGTCGGGCTCCTAACCAGAGTGACATTCACAGACTTACTGCGGAAGAATTCATCAGTGCCTACTAACTAAGGATAGATGAAGGAAGACATTGAGGGGGAGCCAGGCTGATTGATGACAAACTATCTGCTGAGGAGCAGGTTGCACAGGAGGGAACGTAGGTGGGGTGCCAGAGTGGGGGTGGGGTGGGTAAAAGACAACCCCAACCACCAGGCGTCTTGGAGGGTAGCAATGTATGTGACAGAAACAGAATGCTTAAGGTGTGCTAGGATCGGGTGGAAGTACTGATTTCCATTGAGAAGGTTTTGATTTTGAGGGCACTTTCATTATTGCTGTTGTTTTGGTTGCTGTTGGTTTCCATCCCAAGAGGTCCTAGAACCCCATATGCAATCCCAGGCAGTCCTTGAACTTTTCCTCAGCCTCCTGAGTACTTGGACTACAGGTGTGTGCCACCACACCTGGCATCTCTCTGACTTTTCATGAGGGAAACCTCCTTTCCCCTCCTAGAAGTCATTGAAGGCGATGCCAGCAAGGGCTGGAAAACCGTCCCTGTTGCCAGGAGCAGGAGCTGGGCAGTGTGTGCCTGGTTGCTACCAGCAGCAGCTCATGAAAATAGAAGGCTCTTGCCCTGGAATTCAGAGATGGCAGCAGGCAGGCGGAGTTATAGAGGCAACATGCATTGAAGCAAGCTATTCAAGTTCAAGAAGAGGCGTTTCCCCAGTCTCATCCTCCTAAGAACTCTCGGAGGAAGATAAAAATCAAGCATGCGGTAGGAGGGAAAATAACCCAGACTCCAGGGGCGGAGAACCCGTGCCAGCATCGGCCAGAGCCCTGGGAGAACTGGGAAGGCAGAAGTCGCTCTGCCTTATCCTCTGGGTTTCTGACTCCAGAGGTCTGAGACAAGACACACGCTCTGTGGTGTGTGCAGGTTTCTAGATAGTCCCTCCGCTAGTGTTGTGATGCCCACAACTTGGGAATTAATAATCTAGGGGAATTTAGTGAGGGGAAGGGAGGAATGCATGCTGGGAGGTGTGAATTTATCATTCCTCTTAATTTTAGTGCCCAGTGTCCGAATTACAGAGGACAGCGGAGTGAGCAGGTGAAACAGGCTGTCTGAGACACCAAACTTCTAATTGGGGTAACGGTAAGCATAAATAGGAAGAAGATGAAAGGCAGGTGCTTTATGCTGAGCGAGGAAAGTCAGATGGAAGGAGATAGGAAGGTAGGGACCGTGTGGAGTAAGATGGGGTGACGATTGACAGGTGGTGCAGAGGGTAAGAGGGCTTGATGTTCTTTCAGAAGACTGGGGTTTGGTCTGCGCTGAATGTGCTTATGCTCATTGAACCATTTTACTGACCCCAATCTTCTATCCTCTCCCTCCATTCTTCCCTTCCTCCCTCCCTTCTTCTCCCTCTCTCTCCCCTCTCTCTCCCTCTCTCTTTCCCATACACCACCATATCCAGCCCACCCCCCAAGGAATGCTGAATGCAGTTCTGATATTTTGTTGAGACTTATTTTTAAGAATGTGATTCTTAAAAACTAATAATCATTTTATTCTTTAGGTATGGGTGTTTCTGTTTTGCCTGAACGTATGTCTGTATTGCATGTGCACAGTGACAGCAGAGGCCAGGAGAAGACACAGGATCCTCTGGAACTAGAGTTGTTAGCTGCCACCTAGCTGCTGGGCACTGAATCTGGGCTCTCTTCACCAGTGACAGGTGCTCTGAACCTCTGAGCCATCACTCCAGTGTTTTTACATCAATTACTCATAAGAAACATTGCACTGTTTGCTGTTTGCTTTGTATTGTTTCTGTGTGGAATGGAGTGTGGTAGTGCTGACCCCATCAAGTAAACTAGGAAATTCTCTCTCCATGTTTTGAAGAAGTCAGAGAAGGGTTGAGATTACTTAATGATGTGCTTGAAGGCTTTGGGTAAAGGAAAACAAACAACACCTAGAAACAGTAAATAGAGATATTCAAAATCAAGGAGGTGAAATTAATGAAAAAGAAAGGAAAAATACAAATAATTAAAGGAAGAGTTGGATCTTTAAAAAGATTAATAAACCTTTAGCCAAATTAAAGGAAAAAGACCAAAATTAATAAAATCTGAAATGAAAAGTAAGACATTACAATAGACATTGAGGAAATTCAGACAATCATAAGAACAAACTTAGTTACAAAATAACATCAAGTACTTAAAATATACAAAATTAAAAGCATAAAAGTAATACACCAAAACATTGGTGGGTATTGAGAGATTTTATATATATATATATATATATATATATATATATATATATATATTCTACTTATCTATAATCATGACAGTTCTAATAGCTGACAAAATTCATTTTAAATGTAAATATGAGTTTGTGACATTTTGTAAAAGGGGAAAAGATATGATACTGCTCTCTAATTTTGAAAGAAAAAAGTTACATGTTACTAAACCAGAAAAGCTAGAAGAAACCAGTTTCAGAATGTATATGTATATGATCTACCAAAGTTAATCAAGATGAAATAAATAACTTAAACGGACACATACAACCAATGAGGCAGCAGTAGTTAAAATTTTTCCTAATCAACAAGAGCCAAGGGCCAGATGGATTCAGCGTAGAATTATACATACAGTGCAACTGTATATTTGGACCCACGGTGGCTGTAACTGAATGCCAAGATTTGTACAAGATCAAGCCAGTCAAAATCCCAGCCAGAATACTAGAGGGACTCATGAAGTCCTGCACCTGTGTAAGAAGCTATTGGTAATTGATGGCTGCTGGAAAAGGGAGTGTAGAGACCGTTTTCTTCAGGGATATGATCCTTGAATAGCTACCCATGCTGCTTAGTAGATGGACCAATACCCAGGCCCATACAGACAGCACTATATAGACTCAGTGGGTATTTTTTTTTAAATGGAAGGGAAAAAAGAAAGAAGGAAGATAGTGAGAGAGGGAGGGAGAAAGAAAGGAGGGGGAGGGAGGGAGGGAGGGAGGGAAGAAAGGGCTGTTGATGGAAGAAGGGAGAGGGAAAATACAAAGTTGGGAGGGAGAAGATGTGGGAAGTAGAAGAGAAATTAGAGGGAATGGGGGTGGATTAGAACAAACACATTATACGCAAGTATGACTGTTAAGTAAAATATTTTAAAACAAACAACCACAACATAAAATGACAGATATTGTCAGTTTCTGCGTCTATGTGACTCTTTATTCACATCTGAGTGGAAATGACCATTCTCAGTAGGAACTCTAATAGCTAACTTTCTAGCTCTAAACACCTGCCATCACCAAGCTAACTACTATGGGAGAGAAAGGATGGATCTGGGTTTGAATGACTTGATTCACTGAGGGAGCAGGGAGCCACATCAGTAAAGCTGGGTGGAATCAGAGCCACAGAATACCATGGCTCTCCAGGTGAAAATTAAGAATACCAGGACAGGCAAAGAAATAAAGCCATGGAAGATAATGGCCAGTGGCTGATACCAGGACCTAGCACTTCAGTTCCAGCCCCCATGTTCTGAGGAATGAAATCCTCTCTCTGGTTTTATTTTGAGACTGGGTCTCATGTGGCTCAGGCTGGCCTCGAACTCCTGATCTTCCTCCTGCCATCTCCCTAGTGCAGCGATTACTGACATGCACCACCACGCCTGTGTCTGGAAGAGATGAAAGTAACTAAAGAGCAGTCAGTAGCTCTGCTGCACAATGCGCTTCATCTGCAGGAAGGGTTTTGGAGAAGAGAGCATACCCCATTGGAAGTGTCTCCTTTCTCTCCACAGACAACAAAGCTATCCCAGAATCCCATGTTCTATTTCACATATGAGGAGAAGAAAAAAATGACACTTTCTCTGAAAATTTTGCCCAGAAAAGAACGTTCTGTTTTGGAAGCATCCTCCTCTAAGTGCTGGATACCATCCCTGTGCTGCTGTTCAGTTCTCAACAGGCTTTAATCTTAGCCTCATAATGAAGTATCAGAATTAAGTGGTCAGGAAAATAATGACTGTCACTCCTTTATTGTCTCCAGTGCTCTCCTGAGTGAGTCCAATTTCCTTAGCAAGGCCCTGAGAAAAGAGAAGTATGTCTAAAAATCAATGGCAGCCTGGCTTAGAGTCTTGGACTTAATGACACTCAGCATCCACCCTCATCCATCATCCCTTTTTATAGACCCAAACAGACATGTCCACACTTGGCAAAAATATTGGAACGTATTTCTAAATGTTAGAGAAATGTTTAAAATGTGATACAAATGGATGCTTTCATTTAATTATATTTAACTAATGGAACTTAAGGAATAGATTTACTTATAGAACACATTCCTCTGAGTAACATGTTATTTCATTCATTGATCATTAAATCCATAGGTATTAGAATTTGCTCACTCTTCAAAAGTACTGTGCTGTTTCTCTGCATCAAAGTGTAAAAGGCATTCATGGCCCTTCTCAAATGCAAGATTGTGCAAAAACTACTTAACTGCCCAATCCATAACCATAAGAATTATATCATCTGCATGACAAATACATAGGAATGAATGTGCTCAAAGCTCACAAATCCCAAGTAGTAGTAGCCTTAATATGAACATATTTGTACATTGCATTCCTATGGAAACAATTATTTTCTTTTTTTCTTTCTTTCTTTTTTTTTCTAAGATTAACAGGACCATCCCTCAGGAAGACAGACTTTCTTGAATGTTTTTGTAGTCATTATTCCCATGGAGTCCAAAAACCTTTTCAAGCTCTGATGTCTCCACACCGCTCAATATGGAATTTATTCTACATGTAAATCCTCCGTCACTTTCCATGTGCCATCTCCCGTTAAGAAGAACTAGCGTTTTTATTAAATGTTTGTGTGGGCATACATGCATATAGGAAGGCACAAGCATGTGAACAGAAGTAATAGTTCTTCTTTGGAATAATACTTATCAGGAAATTGTCCACCACCGGCCCATGCTACATGCTTCACTGTAAATACTGTAGTCCTGGCTTCAGTAACAGGCTCAAAGCCAAAGAAGATGAGTATAAGAAACTCTTAAGTTGCTATTAAGTATTTATGTAAAGAGACCTGAAAAAGTAACATCTATGCTCAGAAGAATTTACTAAGTGACTTACTAAGTGACAAAAATGAGGGACTTCTCATTGGTCTCATAACTGCTTTGTTGGGACTGGCAAAATAGCTCTCTTGCAAAGTACACAAGTTCAAGCATGCACACCACTAGGTCATAATTGCTGGTAACATCAGATCTATGTGTTCTCTGATGTTCTCTTCTGGCATCTGTGGGCACTTATACACATATGTGCACATACTCCCATGCACACATACACAAACACACACACACACACCCCACAGAGAGAGAGAGAAGACACACACACACACACAGAGAGAGAGACAGAGAGAGACCAAACAAGTACTCAGTATAAAGCCATGCACCTTTAATCCCAGCACTAAAGAGGTGGGGACAGGCAGATCCCGGATGCCCTGGCCTGCCAGGCCAGCTGCAGACAATGAAAGACAGAGACTCACAGAAAATGTGGGGAGTACCTGAGGAACAACACCCAGAGTTGTACTCTCACCTCCTCAGGCACACATGTGTATCTGCATCTGCACACATGTGTCACATACCTCTCCAATGTACACACAGGAAAGTCGTGCTTGAAACTGCCCCTCCATGAACTGTGGAAACCCCAATATCCTCTGACACCAGTAGTGTGGTCTCCCTGTCAGAAGCCACCACGGACATTCCCACAAAGATACCCCACCCCGCCACTGACCAAACAAAAGGTACGCTCCTAGATCTCCCTGTAGCTCCATCATAAATGGACCGGGTGGTACCCGACCCCAGAGTCACTGCATTTTTGCACTTTCTGTATCCAGGCTGTGCAGCTGTCACACTGACCTTCCAGGACACTGGAACTTCATGCCTCCAAAAGCCATGAAGCAGTCCAAGAAAACATTCTTATCTAAATTTGCCTCTTTCCAGCGTTCCTGTGGGAAGAAAACACTTTTTTTCCCCAAATCAGTCTTATATAAATAAGCTTAACTCAGCTTCTTCTGTGCTAAAAAGGATGCTGTACAGCTAATCCTTGCATACGGAGTTGCAGAGTTGTGGGTCATTTTTTACCCCAACCTGTTATTAATATCAGACACAATTGTGGTTTTGGAACATGAACTTAGAAACAGAAAAGGCTTAACAAGGATCCTATTAAGTGGCAAATGTAAATGACAACATAAATCACCTGCAGAATTGACCTAAGAGGAGGAAGGCTATTTATAATATGGCCTTGGGCTTTATCACAAAGTTACTCATAATAATAAATTTAACAGCAAGATACCGACAGAACTGCTTGCTGGAAGAACCCTGGGATTGGAATAAATACATCTGGCTGCCAGTTCTTCCAGATTTTCCTAAAGGCAAGGCTTGAACGAGGTGAACTCTTCAACGGCTCAGCGCTGCGATTCCCCAAGCACATGAAGTAACATCACTATTTTAATTTGCTGTGTTTTTATTTTGTGGGCTCCTTGGAAACCAGTAACAGAAGCAGTTGCCTAAGGAATACAAAATGAGGCTTCCTTCCAGCAGAACCAGGGCTATTGGCTTTCATGTTCCTTCCTAGTTTTTTGTTTTGTTTTGTTGGGGGGAGATTTATTTATTAGGTATACAGGTATACAGTATTGAGCCTGTATGCCAGAAGAGGTCACCAGATCTCACTATAGATGGTTGTGAACCATCATGTGGTTGCTGGGAATTGAACTCAGGACCTCTGGAAGAGCAACCAGTGATCTTAACTCTCCAGCACCCTTTCTAGTTTTATATAATAGTTTATCTTTGAGGATGCTTGTTCCACACTCTATCCAATATGTACACATTGCAGCAACTACATTGCAAAAAAAAAAAACCCCATAGTAGCCAGCTTTGGGCATGGTTACCTGAAAAATATGGCTGCTTGCTGATACAGGCTGAGTTAACTTATGTACTCATATTCTTGGCAAGAAACACAGAAATTATAGAGAATAATACATACTAAAAGAGAGCACTTACAGGTTTGAATGAGTCAAGTTCAAGGAAATGCTCTGGATTTCTGTGTAGCCAGAATGGAGACACCATCAACAGATCACCAGGAGGGACCGTATGACTCTAAAATAGAAAAACCAGCTTCAGACCATGTATTTAGAAGTAAGTTTAAGGAAAGTTTGGGGCATTAAAAACAAAACTACAACCGCACTGTAAAAAAGAGACATGTTATAATAAACTTGAGGAAAACCTAACTTTCCTAGCTAGGTCATATTCTCTCTCTCTCTCTCTCTCCCTCCCTGTGTGTGTGTGTGTGAGAGAGAGAGAGACAGAGACAGAGAGAGATAGAGAGATGATATATGTATAACAGACAGAGGACAACTTGTGGGACTTCTTCTGGGAATTGAATAATTTACGTGTCAGGCTTGGTGGCAAGTGTCCTTACCTGCTGAGCCATCTCACCAGCCCTATTGTTTTAGGTGGAGAGTTTCTTGCTAAGCCTAGACCTAATGGTTCTGCTAGCACTTGTTGGCCTGCAAGTCCCTAGGATCTGTCTGTCTCTTTTCTCCAACACTATAATAGTGAGTGTTCACCTCTGCACCTGCCTTTGCTTGTGGATGCTGGGGATCTGAACTTAGGTCTTCGTGCTTGCAAGACAAGTCCTTTGACAAACCAAGCAATCTCCCCTTCCCCCTGGATAGATTATTTCTATGGTCCAATTAGGAGATGACTAATTCCCAATTCTGCTTACTAGTCACTTGTACATATATGGTTGACTATACAGAGGGAGATCTTAGTTAAATGTCAGCATTTTATTTTCTGAAAGATTTATTTTATTTTGATTGTGTGTCTGTCTAAGTGCAGTACTGGAGATTCAGAGGAGGGCATTGGATTCCCCTGGAGCAGGAGTTATAGGTAGTTGTAAGCTGCCATGTGGGTGCTGGGAACCAAACTTGAGCCTTCTACAAAAGCAGTACATACTCTTAACCACTGAGTCACCTCCCCAAGGCTGACGTTTTAAAATTATGTGTATATGAATATGAGTACTAGTGACTACAGAGGTCAGAAGCGTGTCAGATCCTCTAGACCTGACTGTAAGGAGTTCGGTTTTTCCACCCGCTGCCACTCTTTTCTGGCAGCCGCGCCAGCCCCAAATAACACACAGAGACTGTATTCGATATAATCTGTTGGCCTGGTTACTATTTTCTTATTGGCTAGCTCTATCTTAAGTATTAACCCATTTGTGTTAATCTATGTATTTCCACGTGGTCTTCTTACCCGGAGCCAGCTGCCGCATACTGCTTTCTCCCGACTCTCCATCTTGGCTCTCCATCCTGACTCTCCTTACTATTTCCTGTTCCTCCTTGTCTCCTAGTCCCTCCTATCTTCCTTTCCTATTGGCCAACGGTGCTTTATTTATTAACCAGTATGAGAAACATATATACATAATGGCATCTCCCATCACCTGACATTGCAGGCAATTGTGAGCCACCCAGCTTGGGTGTTGGGAACCAAACTAGGCAGATAAGAGGCACACACACACACACACACACACACACACACACACACAGGTATATACACATGTATATGTAGATGTGTATATAGACATACACATGTATGTGTGGGGGGGGCTATAGCATGATGAATATTCCAATAGAGGATTATCACCATACCTCAGTATTATTAATAATTAGCATAACTAATTAAACAGTCATTGTTCTCTCTTGTGGTTATTTTTTTAATAAAAACACTTAAAATTTTAAAAAATCAACCAAACAAATCCTATAATATGTAAAAAAGTATCAGTAAACAGTGGTTGAAGTGGTTGAGGAGGCACCCTTTGTGAATCTCTATGAACCTCTATCCTCCAGAGGCATATGCACACAACATAAAACACACGCACACACACACACACACACACACGCACACACACACACACACACACAGCACATACCATACACTATGATCAAGTGATTTATCAGAGAAGTGAAAGGCTGATTCAATATTTGATTATTAGTAAGTATAACCCATATCACAGGACAAACACAGGAAAGCATATGGTCCTATCAACTGATACAGGAAAGTAAGAAAGAAAATTCAGCACTGATTTATGATTATCAGACTTCTCAGCAAAGTAGAAATAAAATGTCTTGAACTTGACAAACAGCATCCATACAAATTCTATACCTGGCATGGTACTTAATGATGAAAATGAAAAGCTTCCTCCTAGACTCCAGGACAAAGCACTGTTGGACACTCCCAGTAGTCAACAAAGTGCTGAAAACTACAGCCAATATGATTATAAGAAAACAAAACAAAAAGACCAGTAAAAATAACGCCTATATCAAAGAAGTCACTGGAATCTACTAACATTCCTAGCTGTTGGCTGAGATGCAGCTTGGTGGTAGAGTGTTTGTTTGCCAAGCATGCACAAGGTCCCAGGTTCTATTCCTGCCACCACAAAAATGAAGAACAATTGCATTTCTACAAACAGGCTGTAAAAAACTGAAAACTGAAACTTTAAACAACAGCAAATGACCACCAATAAGCCAGATGGAGCAGATCACACTATAACCCTCGTACCTTAGAGGCTGAGGCAGGGAACCATCACATGTTCCAGGCCAGCCTGAGGCACACACATGTTCTCAGAATAAGACCCTGCTTCAACGACACCCTGCCCCAAACGACCATTTACAAAAGTTCTAAAATGAATCATACATTAGGGAATAAATATTTCTTTTAAAAAATCTGTTTGCTGGAAACCCACTGACACAGAGACATCTATACCAAGTCTCGGATGGCGCTCTGTCGAAGCTCAATCAGGATTATGCTGACATTCAGAGGAACACTTTTCTCTGCTTCATCATTGTAACAACCAGACAATGCCCTCTCAGAGTATGCTCACAGTTGGAAATAATCAATAGGTTACTTAAAAGTAAAACTATCTAAATCCCAATACAGCAAAGTGCTGTACTTGATGTAAGATCAATGAAACTAACTTGGTCTTCACCGGGGAGCAAATGTGTTAAGTGTTACACATTGCGATTTTTACCTCTTTTATGGTCTATCAAAATCCCCTGGAATCAACCCCAAAACTCTGAGACTGTGTATATAAAATGTAAACAACAGAATGGGAGGAACAGATGAGGTCTCCCTGGGTAACGAAGGCCCTTGAGCCAGTAATTCTTGTAAAATTTTGGTTCTGGAATATTTCGGTCTTCGTGGTGCACGGACCCTTCATGGTGAGATGAGGAAGTCTCTCCCCCATCCTGTCCTCCCTCCACTGCCATCCCCGGGCCAAGCAGATCCATGCCCTTCTTGCTCTCTTCTGAGCCCTGTGGCTAGAAACTTCTTCCAGTCATTCAGAGACACTTCTCTCACGCCCTGCTCCTGCACAAAGATACTTGCTGAGTGCAGGAAACGGGCATCAGTGGAGTGATGCCTGGAAATGGTCTGACTATATGTCAATACTGCATCTCCTTGCGTCTCAGGGAAGAGCCAGGAAGAGGGAGTGGAGGATTATAAGACAGAAAAGGGGGTCTGAGTCAAAATAAAAATAAAATTAAGGAAAAAAACAAAAACAGAAACAGAAACAGGAAGGGGGGAGCAATGTCGGGTCTTCTGGACGTGGTGGAGCTGTTGCACTCATGAGCTCCTGGGCAGCTGTGGCCGCCTGCTCAAGATCTGCACATGCTCCAGCCAACATGGACGGGGGAGGGGCAACAAGTCCTCACCCCTAGCTGAGGAGCTGTGTGCAGCTAGTGGCTGTCAGAGGAGGAAGAATCCACTTTTCCTAAGGCGTAGCCTCTGGTAGGTTATCCAGGTCCTACATTCATGCTATATAAGCAACACTGACTAGATTCAGTGGGTGCTAACTGAAAGAAGACACCGAGTTTGGAAGGAGCCGTGGAAAGAAAGAGCTCTGAGAGGAGGGAGTGAATGTGACTGAAATTCAGCATACACATATATAAAATTCTCAAAAACAAAGTTTTAAAAATAAATAGTGTTGAGTCAGCTAACAAAAGGCCACCTGCTTGGCTTAAACATTATATAGCTGATGCAGAATCACATGGCCAAATTTCTACTTGAAATGTTATATGTTAGCAGCGAAACTATTTTCCAAAAGACAAACCTCTCTCTGAATGAGAAGGTGTCACTTAACTTAGTGTTTTGAACTGTTCTAGGGTCCCTTTGGACTCACAGCAACTTAGGGACCCATATAAATAATATGCACCATCATAATACAATGGCATTTTCCATTGTAAAACTGAAATGTTAAAATTCACATGGAATCACAAAAGGCCCCAAATCTTAACCAAAATTAACAAATCTGGAGGCAGCTACCACATAACCTAAACTACAGATCTACAGTAATCAAAATGGCACAAAACCAGACATACAAACTAACAGAAAAGAGAGCCCTGAAATCAATCACAAATTTATAGCTTTTTATAAATGTGCGGAAAATATCCAATGGGAAGATCCCAGTTTTCTTAATAAATGGTGTTGGGATAATTGGACACCAATATGAAGATGAAAGAAATTAGGTTCTTATCTCATACAGCATATAAAAATCAAGTCAATTGGATTCAACTTGAGACTATAAAACTACTAGAACAAAGCACAGGGAAAACCCTCCCTGAAATTGATCTTAAAAAAAAAAAAAAAAAAAAAAAAAAACCTGGCTGCAGAGATGACTCAGCAGTTTGGAGGGCTCATTGGACTTCCAGAGAACCTCAATTTGGTTCCCAGCACCCACACTGAGCAGGTTGCAACTGCCCATAACTCAAGCTTCAAGGAGTCTAGCAATCTTTTCTGGTTTGTAAGGCACTGAACTTATGCAGATAACCACCATCCCCAACACACAGACACACACACACACACACACACACACACACACACACACACACCACGAAAATATTTACTAAAGAAAACCTACAAAATATTCAATCAATAAGTTTATGGGGGAAAAACATACAATATCATTGTCATGGAAATGAGAATCCAAATTTCACCGAATATTATCTCAGTCTTGTTAGAATTTGTATTATCCAAAAATGCAGAAGTATCAGAGGACAAAGACAAAGAGAGAACCATTGGAGACTGTTTTTAGGAAATGCACATTAGTACAGTCATGTAGAAAATAATATGGGGGTCCCTCAAAAGATTAATAGTAGATGCTGGGCATTAGTGGCCCACGCCTTTAGTCCTAGCACTCGGGAGGCAGAGGCAAAAGAACCTCTGTGAGTTAGAGGCCAGCCTGGTTTACAGAGCTAGTTCCAGGACAGGCTCCAAAGCTACAGAGAAACCCTGTCTCGGAAAACAAAAACAAAAACAAACAAATAAAAAAGATTAATAGTAGAACTAGTATGTGACCAAGCTATCCAGATACTGAGTTTATAGCCAAAGGATGTGAAATTAACATGTCAAAAAGATAACTTCACCTTCATGTTCACTGCGGCAGGTTTCACAGTGACCATGACATGGAATCAAAGTGTGTCAGCCTGCAGATGAGGATGTAATATTCTTTTTAAAAGATAGAAATTCTCCAACAGCACAGAAGAAGCTTGAGGACAAATACGCCAAGTACAGAGGGACCAGAGCCTGATAAGCTCAATAGGGAAAATTCTGCTCTTAGAATTGGTGTTTAGAAATGCAGTTATTAGGATCTAGGAGGTGGGAGACTTGAGGAATGTTGGTCAAATAATACAAAATTCCATTGAAACAGTGGAATTGCTAAAGAGATATGGTACATCATGTAGTCACTATAGTTAGAACTAGTGTACTTACTGGTCATAGAGTACATAGATATTTTCACAAAGAATGATCAAATGTGAAATAATATACAGGTTAATGAATTGGCCAATACAAAACCTGGACATATTTCAAAGCATGCTGTATCTGACAAATATATATAGTTTCTATTCAGTTATAACAAATTGAAGAAATCAATAATATATCAACCTAGAGAACATATGAACAAAACACATACTTTTTCTAGAAGTTTCATATTTTCAAACAAAACCAGAGCTTAACAGAATTTTAACTGGCTTTACTACTTTTCTAGTAATGACACCAGGGGCTCTCAAGCGGATGGCTTCCAGAACACACCACTTAATTAGAGGCAGCTTCTTCAAGTCATCTTCAGACACTTTAATCTTATCTTTACCTGTAAAGAAAATTGTTTAAAGATTACAGAAAAGATGCACTAGAGAGAGCAGACTTGTCAATGCAGGGTAAGCTCATCAACAAGGAAACTGTTGCTGGGGTGTATTGATTTGGGTTACTTTCTGTGCGAGAATAGACTGGCACCCAATGCTAGCTGTAACAGTCCTGTAGCTACAGAATGGCTAAGATGGTCTCTGTCTGGAAAAGGGTTCAGTTTTTCCTTAACTCATTCTTCTTGTCAAAATCCCCATTGCACTTAAATTGTACTAAAAGACTGTCAGCATAAGACAAAAAATACAACAGGCCAGGAAAGTAAATGTTTCCAAAAAGTGCTGGACATACTTAGCCATTGGGAAATGCAAATCCAAATTTCCTCAAGGGTCTGGAAGATGGCTCAGTTGTTAAAGATTTGCCATGCAAGCATGGGTACCTGAGTTTGGATCCCCAGAACCTATGGAAAGAGCTAGGCTGAATATCATCATTTGAAAGTAGAGATGGAATGAATGTCCCTGGAGTTTGCAGGCCAGCCAGCCTAGCAAAATCAGTGAGCCCCACTGAAACACCCTGACTTGAAAAATAAGGTGGAAAAGCAATCGTAGAAGATATCCACCATTGACCTCTGGCTTCCCCAAACAGATTACAGAATGCTCCAGGGATCCTGATGTCTTCCTTTGGTCCCCACAGGCACTGTACACACATGATGTGCATCTATGCCTGTAGGTAAAACACTCATACACTAAGTGTTTTTAAGTTCTGGAGATCATTACATTGCAAAATAAACCCAACGGTGAAATTAAGTACCACCTTGCTCTCATACACACTTATATACTCAAAGATGTACACAAATATCTGCACAAACATTCAAAAACTACTTTAGGGTTGTATCCCATTCCAGAAAGAATGGCTACCATCAGACCAACAAATGAAAACAAATCTTGACATTATGTAGAGTCAGCAGAGCCTGTCCACACTGCTAGTGGGACAGTATACTGGTCCCTGTGGAGATCCGCATGGAATGTCCTCATGAAACTAAGACAGGAAGTACCCTATGAAGCAGCTCTGTGACTCCAGGGTATGTTCCCAAAGAACACTAAGCCAGCACACCACATAGATACTTACATACCCACGGTTATTGTCATTCTGTTCACAATAGTCAATACAGGGAAGCAGCCTATGGAAACTCTGCAAATGGATTCAGAAAATGGGGTGTACAATGTAAAGAGGAATGGAATGGGATTCACTGGATAATGGATACAATGGGAGATCATTGGAGCTGGACAGGTGGCTCAGCAGTTAAGAGTCCCTGATGCTTTTAAAGAGGACCTGGATTTGATTCCCCAAACTTACAACCACCCATGACTTCAGTTCCAGGCAGACCCAACATCCTCTTCCGGCACCAGGCAAGCATATGGCATACATACATGCACACAGGCAGACACATACATATAAAATAAAATAAGTAAGTCTACACATACACATAAAATAAAATAAATAAGTCTTTTCCAAGTGTGAAAGATCATTAAAGTATGAAAAAGCAGCCAGACTGGAAAGGAATATATGGCTTGTTTTCTCTCATGTGCAGAATCTATGTTGAAATGTATGTATTACACACACATGTGGTATGACAGTAGAAAAGAACTAGGAGAGGGCAGAAAGAGGTCTGGAGGAGAACAAAAGAGGGTAATGAAATCTATACTCATGTGAAGGAGAGGTCAGTAACAGGAAATGTCAGATGGGTAAGGGTATGTTAACCAAAACAAAACAAAAAAATTAAAATGCACACACACACAAAGACAGAGAAACATAAACACACGCACGCACGCACGCACGCACACACACACACACACACACACACACATGAAGGAAGTGACCTGGCCTTTCTTTCCCTGATGATTATTGCTTGGTTTTGTTGTTTGGTTTTGATGTGGAGAACTGGAAACCAGGAAAGATCCTCAACCTCATTCTTTTGGCAGCTCCAACCGAAGGCATGCACTGCCATGCCCAACTCTTTTACTTTGCAATTTAATCAGTTATTACAGATGACCCAAAGACAGGGACAGTGGGGTAGGGATGGGGGTGACCTCTCTGAAATGAAGAGCATGCCCTATAAACACAGACACACCAGAATTTCCTAAGTTGAATAGATGAAGATACCTAAAAAAGGGAATAGAGGTCAATCTTTACATGGCCTTAAGTGTGGTCATGGATTTCAATCAGATTATACAACTTAATGGTGAATAATTCAAGGAATAATAATTCCTCAGAATAGCACTGCTTTCAATCTGGTCTTGACATCTCTAACTTGGTAAGTCACCATGACCAACCCACCCAAGTGGATCCCTGCGTCCCCTTCCATCTCTGTCTCCCCAGAGACGAGCCAGCTGACCATGGTCAGATCCTAAGGAACCCTGAGCCAAAACAAGTCTTTACTCCTTGAAGTTGGTCCTCTCACAAAAGCTGACTTAAAACACCAGTGGATCAAAATAAATAAAATTAAACTAAGAAATAAACCAAAAGACAAAATCAGTTGTCATAAATAATAGGAGGTTCCTTTCCCTCAGACATGTCAGGAGCTCTCTCTCTGTGTGTGTGTGTGTGTGTGTGTGTGTGTGTGTGTGTGTGTGTGTGTGTGTGTGTCTGCATATGTGTACCATCCTGTTTTTCAATCTGCTCCATTTTCTCTGTGCCCTAAACATCTCCTGGGTACCAAACAGAAGGGGCATTTAGGTAACACATGGCACCTAAGGGAAAATCCCTTGGAAGTCAAGTAAAACTGGCAGCAGATGTGTGCTCTTTTGTCTATAAGCCAGCCTAACTCAAGAACCATCTATCTATTTCCATGTCTGTCTCCCTATGTTATTTAAGGAATTAAAATTCCTGTGAGCTGTGTGTCACAGCAACCCACATGAAATGAGAAACAATCAAGATACATTATTTTTGTTACAAATAATGTTGGATTGGTTGAGAATTTCAGCAATAAGAACAAGTTTGGGATTAGAAGATAGGCCAGCCATTTTTGGTAATTGCAACTTCTGGTATCTGAATATTTTACACAGAACAAGGAAACGCATATAAATAGTTAAATGTGTATGGTAATGTATGTACATCAACCTAAAAGTGTGTGCAGAAATACAAAACCAAAATGTACTATGAGAATAAGAAGTCAAGGAAGGAAAGCAGATAGAAAAGCCTGTTTGTTGTATGATAACTACAGTGTGTGAGGGGCCGAAGGAAAAGGTATGGGGACTGCTGCGGTATGCATTACAAGGTGGCAGCTGATGATGGAGATGGAGCCTGGGAAAAGCAGCAGAGAAATGGGGTATCCCATAGTCCCTGGAATCCTGGTTCCTGGGCCTCCGTGTCTGCTCTTTGCCCTCTGCATGCCCTTCTTTCTGCACTGGACTGCCTCACTGCACACCACCCAGATCATGGTTGTCCCAGGTAGCATCTTTAAGTTCCCCTGATTTTATCAAAGCATTGAAACTATGAGACAAGGGAAAGGAAAATTATACTGTGGCTGGAAACAACCTAGAGTGGAAAGCCCTGTCTGCCATCTAGGCTCCCAGAGATTCAGCCAGCGAGTCACCGGCCATGGAGCTAAGGTTCACCCAGAAGCCCATGGCTATGGCAAATTCAGACACAGACGGGGAATGTTTGGTGATGCATAGTAGTTAGAGATCCAAGACAGGCTTCAGACCAGTTTCTTCTGGATCCTAAAAGCCACGGGATACCTAGCCAGCTAGGACCCTACATAAACAAGCATGACAGGCAAGTTAGCCTGACCTTCTAATTCAGATCCTAATGCTGGCTTCTCCAAAGGACTGGTTTCCCTGCAAATAACTGTTTACAGAAATTATATTTGAACAAATTCACCAACCAGTCCTTCCTCTTTTTATTTTTTTCTGCTTCAGTTCACTATTGCTATAGCATACAGATGATAAATAGTTTTCCGTTAGACCAAAGGTAACTGGTGACCAATAGTTGAGGTTAATGCTCCAAATCAAATGTGAGGGATTCCGATGGGAACCACCCTGGTCATTCATCCTCATTGTCACCCTGACAAGAATCACCTAGGAGGCACACCACTGCGCCTGGCTGTGACAGAAGTTCCCCAGAGGTTTAACTGAGGAGGAAAGACTTGTCCTGAATGTGCGTGGCACCATTCCGTGGACTGGAGTCGCAGATCAAATAAAAAGGGGAAAAAGAAGGAAGTCAGCTGAGCGTCCATATTCTTCCCTTTCTGCTTCCTGACCAGCAAGCATGACTTATGCTGCCGCGCTTTTCCTGTGTGGTGGGCAGATCCCTTCAAATCTCATCCAGGATGAAACCTTCCTTCCTTAAGATGCTTTTGTCTGTATTTTGTTACATGAGAAAAACTGGCTAACACATCTCCCCATTTTTAACATCTCCCTGTTCTAACACATGCATAGCTTGACCTTGGATATTTGAACTTAGTTGTGGTCAAGTTTCTGACCTCCTTCAGAGGAATTTTTGTAAGTTTTTAATCCTAAGTGTCACTGTTAGACTATTTGCACTGTAGGAACATTTTATACCACATTACAGAATACAGAAACTGAATGCTGTTTCTAGTGGGAAACAGCTAAAGCTATGCCATACAAGCATATAAGTGATGTGGAAAACAAGTGTTTTAATCATGTCTCACAAGTCCCAGTGTAATGTGGGAAATGATGTGGTATTCTTGGAAAAGACAAAAGAAATAGTCTGTTTTCAAACATCTTTCTGGTAAAAGAGCATTTTTGTTAGAACTCATAAATGGCACTGCACCGATGCTGTGGGGATTTCAATGCTCATCTGTGGTGTGTTATTCCAGTCCAGTGGCTGTAAATTCAGAAAGCCCCACTTGGGAGAATTCCAAGGTAATCACCAGAAGAGCTGGAGCCCCACCGAGACCAAGACCACTACAGAGAGAGGTCAGGGAGGGAGCTAAGGGTGGTGGCTGGTAAAATTTAGAAACCCTCTGTTTAACTCTTGGCATAAATG